CTTAGGGTTTTATTTTTTACACAATGCTCTCAGAATATTTTTAAGAACTAAATTATTTATTATGGCCAATTTAAATTTAGTGTGCTAATATACATTATACCATGTGCTATAGTTAATCACACATTTAATACAATTTATTTAAGCCTAAAAAGGTTTTTAGGCTACAATTTTTTTATAAACTTCATAACTGCTTTAACCCCTGCCTAAATAATTATTTTTATATAATTTTTTATAAAATTTATTTTACTTTTTATATTATAAAATTACCATTAATTTAAAAACACAAAACATAAAAATTAAATTAAAAAAACTAGTATTACAAAAAATATTTATATAAAAAAACATAACATATGCACACCATAAAGCATAACCTTAAAACATGTAAGCATTTTTGCCTTGGCCCTTTAAAGGCATGCTAAGCAAAAAATGAACAAAAAATGCACAAAAAATTAATGGTTTGCAATTTTGGGTCCCCTTTTTTTTAATCTTTGCTGGCAGCACGTCAGCCATCTTATATGGCGTCCCCGGCAGGGTTCTGTATGAAAGCAGGCTGAAACCCACAGGAAGTGAGCGGGTAAGCAGCACTCCCCATGACCTCTGCATCAGCTCCTGCCTCCAGGATCCTGCTCTCTGTGAGTTTCTGTCCTGATTTCCTTCAGTGGTGAACTGTGATGTGGAAGTATAAGCCAAATAAATCCCTCTCTCCCCAGGTTGGTTTTGGTCATGGTGTTTCATCATTGCAACAGTAATCCTAACTAAGACAGCATCCCTTCCCCAAGGCTTAGGGATCTTTATGGTAGAGGGGGTGGAAAGATGTCAGAGCCAGAGTTGGTGGATAACATCGGGTAAATGATGTTTTCCAGACAAAGCAGGGAAGTTGCATAGGGACTTAGAGCCATTTTGACCGCGTACATAATACTTGCATAAGGTCAGATCAGACAAAAACCCAGAAGGGAGTGATTCTGGAAAGTGGATACAAAATCCCACCACTAGTTGACTGTAGCAAGAGGCTACATAAGGTTACCCGTCAGACCTCCTTGCTGTAAAGGGAGAAGTACCACCAACGTTCCATCTCCTAAAGGGTTCCAAAGGAGACGTCATCAATGACTATTCCCAATTGTTTTTCCAAACAGTCTCTCCAGAAGGATCCTCCTAACGATAATGGAAGAGTCATTCTTTTGTGTGCAGTGTTTATAGCTCATAGGTTGTCTTTGCTTATTCCCCTGTAGTCAGTCATTCCATCCCTGGCCAGTGACACCCCTTCAAAACGCTCCCCACACCAATTCTTAAATAACCAGCTGGCCTTGGATACCTCCCCTGCTTTCTGGGAAAAGTCATTCTTTTCCTGAAAACACTTCCGAAGTGGCTAGTTATTTCCTCCAAGATTTTTTTGTGTGTGTGTGTGTCTGTGTGTGTGTGTCTGTGTGTGTGTGTGTGTGTGTTTACACACATACATGAGTCACATATACCTCCCTTATAGACAGTCTTGCTACTGAATCTTTATTCTTTACTTTTTAAATAACATATTTGTTAATTCTGGTATTTTATATTATATCTATATTTTGATCATATTCACTCCCTAACTTCTCCCAGAGTCACCCCTCTCCCTCACTCAATTTTGAGCCGTCTCCTCCTACCACATAAAACTGAATTCAGTTTCTGCTGGTCAGCTACTCCTGGGCATGGAGCCTGCCCTGGAGTGTATTTGCCTTATCAGGGGTCACATCATTAAATAAAACCGATTGACCTTTACTGACAGGAACTGTATGTCCTTGCATCCTGTTCCTCTCCTGTGCTAGTGTTGGGTCAGTAGAGATGATGTTTGCCTCTGAGACTCGAGACACCTGTCAGTCTTAGCTCCTTTTCTAATTGTTGGCAGACTGTCCAAAATAAGCAGGTGGAAGTGACCACCTGCAGATCTGTGAGAGCATTCCCTGGCCTCAAAGACACCCTCCATCTCCTGGTGTGTTGAGTCTCCTCTGTTTCCTCTCATCGCCTTCTAAAATAGACACATCTATAAAATTCCAGTGCAGCTTGGAATTGTTCTAGATATACTTAGGGAATGTGTGTTCCCACTTCATTACCTCCCATAGGAGAGCGAAGTAATAACCTCCATTTATTTTTCCTCTCTCTCAGCCATGGAATTCCATGAACACTTGCACAGCATAGGCACCAAGGAGGGCCTGAAGGAGCGGAAGCTGCAGAAGGCGGTGGAGAGCTTTACCTGGAATATCACCATCTTAAAGGTACATATTCACCTTTCTGTTGCTATAATAAAATACCACGACCAAGGCAACTTAGAGAATTTATTCTGCTTACCATTCCAGAAGGATGAGTCTATTACGGCAGGGATGCAAGGTAGCAAGCAGGCATGGCCAGAGCAGGAGGCTGGGAGCTCATATCCTCAACCACAAATGCGAAACAAAGAGCAATCTGGAGGTGGGACACGGCCCTCGGTGACACATGTCCTTCAGCAGGGGCACACCCTCCAGCTTTGCTGTCTCTGACCCTCCCTGTGTGCCGCTCTCCCTGGCAGATGCCCCACAGCTCTGCCATCCCAAGCTTTACTCTCACGGCTTCATGTGCTGGCCTCTCAGGCCCTCTGGCTCTGCCAGGGCCTTCACAAAGGTGTTCCCCTGCCACGTGTTGCCTGGCTGGAGAGGCTCTGTGAAACTGGAGAAGAGGAACCGATACCTGATTCACTCTTGCATCCCTCACGGATGAACCCAGCACCCCATTTGGATGGCACTGCCAAGCTGGCTGCCAGCCTGGGGTGGGCGCTGCCAGCCTGGGGTGGGCGCTGCCAGCCTGGGGTGGGCGCTGCCAGCCTGGGGTGGGCGCTGCCCCGCGAACCACATTAACAGTCGCGCTCTATGCAGTTGTTGTCTAAGAACAAACGATGGCTAGGCTCCCTTGGATTCGCTGGAGATTTAGATGGATGGGTCCTGCCCTGAGGACAGTCTTCCCTTTGTTCCGCCCCAGAGCGGCCTGATCTTAAAGGCACTGTTGTCCTTCGTAGTTACAGCCTGTCTTCCAGCACAGACCTCGGCTGGAACCGTAAGCTCCCTAGTGCTCTTTTTCTCACTGTAGTTTGTGTTTCTTTCTGCCCTGCTTGCACTTTTTTGTTAGAGACCTGCATAAGTATTTTCAGTAATAATAATAATAATAATAATAATGCCATAGACCCAACATTATTCTGTCTTGAAATTTCTTCTGCCAAACACGTTAGTCCCTTAATTTTTAATTTAGCCTCAGACAACTTCTCAGGGCATGGGCAGAAAACAGCCAGATTCTTTGCTACAGTGTCATAGGAATGACCTCTAGCCATTGTCCCCCACTGAAACCTTCTGTAGTGGTTGGTCTCTGTAGGAAAGAGGTTTCCTTGATGAGGGATGAGGAGTCCAGTTATCTGTGGATGTGAGAACTCCATTGTACACACAGCTCTAAGCACTGCTGGGAACTCCTGCTAGAGGCTACCACTATAACAGCTTTTTAAAAATTATTTCTTTTCTCTTTCAATATTATAATTACATCATTTCCCCTCTCTTTCCTCCCTCCAAACCCTCATATATTTTTCCTTATTCTCTTTCAAATTCATGGCTCCTTCTTTCATTAATCATTATTACAAACATATGTGTGTATACACACACATATTTCTAAACACATAACTCTAACTTGCTCAGTCCGTATAGTGTTACTTGTGTGTATGTTTTCAGGGCTGACCACTTGGTATTGGATAACAAATTGGTGTGCTTCTCCCTGGAAGGCTCTTTCTCCCACTCTCAGCCTTCCTTGATATGACTTACATTTCTTGTTAAGATTCTTGGAGATGTGTGTGTATGGGTATGTGATTTGATACTGTCCCACAAGGCACATATAGTTGTTTAAAATCTTTTATCTGTTTTAAATGTCATGATATTTGTAAGCAATATTGCTATGTCTCTAAGCTTTGTGCTCTTTCTGAAGTACAGCATTTGCCATTAATCTTGCCGGAATGGAATGGGTGCTGGGAGAGAACGCAGGACCTTCTCCATGCCAGACGAGCTCTGCCGCTGAGCACACACCATCCCTTTCACGTGTCGCACACCCGTCATGGCCTCCACCTTTACTATATGTCCCACACTTACAATCGGTCGGGAACGCCCTCTGCCACCTGCTTCAGAGTCCAGCCTCAGGGGCTGCCCTAAATTACAGGCTGCCCTGTGTCCGGTTCCACTCTCAGACACGATCTGGTACTGCTTCTCTCTGGTGCCACGTTGTTTTTGTGTTCACTCTCTAGCTTTCTGTCTTGGTCTCTTCCCAATTTTATCCTCAGCTCCATAAACAGAACACAGAAGGCCATCATTACATCTGTCCCTCTCTTGTTTGGTTGAGTGTAAGATAGAATTTTCTGTATTGTTATGGCTTCCAGTGTAACTATTATCAGCTTTATGAACCTGTTAAATTAAGTGTCGTGTGGTGCTACATGCTTGTGATCACAGCACTTGGGAACTGGAGCAGGAAAACCAACTGTGAGGCCAGCCTGGACCGAGTTGTGCCACAGGAGCGATGGCAGAATCTCATGGTGGAAAAGTCCTGGTGTGACTGGCTACCAGGAGCAGAAATTCCCCGAGACTAGCTGACAGAGACGGGTGGGGGGTGTTGGTACACACAGGAGATCATGAGAGACTGCAGGGAACTCTGATCAAAACACTGGATTCCTGCCTCAGAGGGCCAGGAGGCCCTCAGAAGCCCTGGTGGTCCGGAACGTCTGTGTCCCTTAGGGCCAGGGCTCTGCCAGCTTAGCTCTGTGCGTGTCCACATTCTTCCTTGCCAGCTAGCTCCTGCTCAGACAGTTCCTACTGCTTTATTGCCTGGCCTCTCCTTGTCCGTCCGTGACATGCTCTTTATGAGCTCTGTAATAAGTGAGCCTTTTATGGTGTTTGCTGGCTCAGCCCAGCCTTTTAGTTCCAGACCAGCCATCCCACAGTGGCAGGCCTCTGGTCTTCCCAGCCCCGGTCCACTATGTCCAAAAGATGGCTACCTTCACTGGCTGCTCCAGGTTCCTATTGCTATGTAACAAACGACCTCAAAACTAGTGGCTTAAGATGGCCTCCCCCTTGCCCCTGCCCCTACGATTCTGTACATTAGCTGAGGTCAGCTGAGAGCTTTTCCTGACCCATGTGGTGTTGGCCAGGGCCACTCAGAAGGCTTGTTTTGTTGGGAGCTTACCTGCCTTGTACATAAGGAACAGGCTTCACTCCTGTGGCTGGCATCTCACTGAAGGGCTGGGCAGGGGGCTTGTGTATGTTCAGTGGGTCAAAAGCAGGCTGCTTACAAACCAGGCTGTCACCAGATGAAAGGCCCAGCTGCTTCCCCCATGTCCTGCACTGTCTACCCTCAGAAACAAGACAGGAAGGAAACTCCAAAAGCAATTAGAGACTCACTCTCTCAAGGAACATAAGACTTCTGCCAAAAATAAGTCAATAAACCAGATGGTGTCTGTACAGACACAATCTAGATTTTCTTCATTTACCCTTGGCTCAGTACTTACCTTAGAAACTTGAAGACTGTCTTTCCAAAAGTTAATGTAATGACCCATGGATGACTCTTTTTGCCTTTAAGTATTAATTCTCAGATGTTTTAGTTACTGTATTACCAGTGATATCACATGTTGCCAGTTTTTCTGGAAAGCTATTCTTGACTAGAAGTTAATTTCCTGTTTAAGTAGTGTGTGAAAATGTAGAGTGGCTCAAGATAACACACAGTGGTGGTCATTAGGCAGGCTGCTCTTTCTGATCTGTTTAAAACACGGCACATGCCCAAGGACCTTCCCACTGCGCAGTGTGATCACACAGAATGTGCTGGAGAGAACTCTCCGCCTCCTGTGAGGGCACTCCCACAGAAGGTGGGAGAGCTGCCCGTGTGAGGGGAGGGTCCTGGGTTGCCGCTTCCCCAGTGCTCTGAGCGGGGCAGAGCTGATCTGGCCACCCCTCCCTCACTTCCGCAGTCTGCTGCTTCTGAAGACTCCTCCCACTTGTGTCCAGAATGCCTGTTCTGTGCCCGTGGGTGAGCCTGCCCTCCCATGACAGATCCATGACTGGAAATGAGTTGGAGCCAGCAGAGAAAACATTGTAGTTCAGATACAATGGTACCCAACAATGGCTGGACTCTGGTGTGATATTTCCTGGGACATGGCAGCTGCTGGGTGGAAGGCATCATTCCCGACATTCCTTGGACCTGCCAGGATCCTTTCCGGCTCCTGTCCAGGCCTAGCTCCTACTACCTCCTCTACAATGCCGCCTAGTAACCTCCGTCTTAGGCAAAGAAAAGAGGGAATTGCTTTCTCGAGAGAATGGCATTTCTTCTGGATTTAAATTGGTTTTTTAAATTTGAAATCATACAGAGCTTTGGTAAGTTGGAGGATAACCACAGATTAGCTAAGAGCCCAGAGTGAGGGCAGGAGTCTCAAGACTCAAGAGTAAAGATGACCCCGCCATCCTTGTGTAGCCAGGACACTACGCCATACAGCTGAAATAAGCTGGAACACAGTGTATCGTTTTCATTCTTTCCTCAGGGCAGAGCTGCTGTAGGGTGTTACAGAGAGAAATCCACGGAGTCTGCTTAAAGGGCAAAGGAATATATTCGGGAATGAAACTCACTACAGCACGGGAGATTGATCGTAGGGTCTTGGAAAGCAGAGTTACAGTCCCACGCTGTTCTTCCGCCTAGTCCATCTCAGCATCCAAAACCACAAGGGAGCAAAGAGGAACTGCCTATGTACGTACATCTCAGGTCTTTAGTGTCCCTGAGAGGCCACGCCCCACAGGGGCTACGTGTACTTCAAGGTCATAGGCAGGTAGACCTGCTGCATCTCTAGGGACGGGGCTTCATGGCCATAGACAGACAGCCATCCACTACAGAACATAACTGGGTAGACAGCAAGCAGCGTCCTGTCACTTGGAATGCACATTCACTCTGTCAGCCACAAGTGCCTGTGTGGGAAAGCCACAGGGTGAAAGACATAGGGCACATCTGGACAGTTCTCACACCTGGAGAAACTCATGTATCTGTTGCTCTAGCTGTGGATTACTTGATCTTGAGTGATCTTGTTTCCAGCTCGAGGTTTAGTGAGACTTCAGTGGAAAGTGGGTCTGACCAATAGGAGGCCTTCCGCTGGGTACTGTGCTTGGCTTTAGCCTCCCTCGTGAGAGGATGGTGAGGGATGCTTTCCAGCCTGTAGCCGGAGCTCCCACAGCCCACTGTT